GGAGGGGAGATGGGAGGGGAGAAGAGCAAAAAAGTCTTTAGCGAGTCACAAAAGCGTAGCTGCTAACTCGTAGCTCTGTCTTTATTCTCGAAGCCTCGCAGTCGCTCGCCGACTTCATTATCGCTTGATAAATAGCTCGAACGGCCGCCGCCATTATTTTAATTAGGGAATTTGAGCGTGATGAAGAAGGGATTTTTTTTCGGGAGAGAAGCGAAGCGAGGCTCTCGTGGGTCGCGTGAATGGGACGAAAAAGCTAAGCCACGAGCTTCCGACGTACTCGGGGTCCCGGGCTTAAGACGGCGAAGACGGCATCGGGGAAACTGGAGCGAGACCCACTGCGCGGAGACACCGAAACATGACCGCAGACGCCTTCTTAATATTTTGTTTTTTATTTCCTCTTTCTTTGTTTTTTTTTTGTTTTTTTTTTTGTTTGTTTTTTTTAATGGAACGCTGCGTTGCAATCGCGTTTGCATTTTTCCAAAACCGATATTCGATTATACGACCGATATTCTGGCTGGCTTGAGAGTATTGCTTGCTTCGGCAAAAGTTTCGAGCGGTGCATGTCGAGCTATCGACATCTTCGTTCAATTGAATAGCAGAAAGTAAGCAAAATGTCGATTAGTAACTAGTAAGTCCGTGCGTGCATTCCATGCTTACAAACATTCGAAGCTTATGCCCGCGTTACGATATAATTAAGGATGCGACTATTTTTGTAAATCAACGACATTTCATAATTTAGCGAAGGGAATTTAGGACGGAGAGGGATCCGATGCATATTGCCTACCGAGGGAAGAAATAGCGTTAATAAAGGGGCGGATAGTATAGAAAAAAAATATAGATTAAGAAATAACTTTGATCGCGTAAGGAATGAAAGTAAATCTGTGTATAATTATAGGTATTTGTTTACGTCTTTTATTAATGCATATACATGTATTAGCCTAAGTTTTAAAACATTTTTTTTTGCTATTGTTTTTTTTTTTTTTTTTTTCTTATATTCGATGAAGAAGTTTTTCAACTCATCCGTTCTCTTTAATCTTTATTGATTAACGAATGTTACAATTTCAGTGTAATCGTTCCCTTATTTAGGCTTAATAAATTGTAAAATTCTTGCTTCGGCGTGTATTTAATAGAACTTGTACGTAAAATAAATATATCGTACGTTTGATCAAATTTCTTCTTTTGATCAATTCGTTAGGAATTTAAACTCCGTAGGGATTAAATTCACTAATATGATTATCGTATTGTTAATTCTACGCCGCAGATGTCTTTTATCAATGCTATAACAGGTAAATTGCGTCTACTTTATAATGGATCGTATAATTGTTAAGTGAAAATGTCAGTGAAATCAAAAGGCTGTGATCCAAATCTAATTGAAGCTGAATCTCCTAATGATAATTTCTTACCGTCCAAATATTCAAAGGTAAAAAAATACTCTTTGTAGGTTCTTTATTTTTATTCGATTTACTTCGATATACACTTTTGAAAGCACTTTTTAAGGAAATCTTAAAGCGCGACTACTTAATGATGAAAATAATTTCGAGATTAACGTTTCGCCGCCCCTCTCCCACCGACTCCCACGCGTGCTATACACCCTCGTGCTTGCTCGTGTCATTTGTTTCGTGGGAGATTTTCAGATGAAACACCAAAGATGAAACGTAACCACCAATCACCGTCAAAAAGTCCGTCGTACAAGATTGTCCTTGGAAAATTATTTGATTATTCCGAGCGTAGTAGGTAGCCGCGCGCGCGCACGTGTGTGTGTGTGTGTGTGTGTGTGTGTGTGTGAGGAGAGCCCGAGTCGCGTGCATTGTAACGGAGGTGAGGGAGGACGTTGTGATGGGGAAGAGTGGATGGGGCATGGGTAAGGGACAGACACGATCGCAGAATTGCCGGATAGCACCCCCGGAATTCGAGTGGAGGGCTTGCGAAAGCGTCGTGCACGACGTCGGCGTAGGAAAAATCTTTAACGAGGACGGAGGTGAGCCGCCAGACGAGAGCTTTTGGAGCGGCTCCAAGTGCGGCATCCGCGGAAGGGTGGGCGACACGCGGGCTGACGTCCCCTGAGTCTTGAGTGCTTGCAGTTCGCGTTTTACGAAGAGCTTGGGCCGTTCGACGCGTAGGACGAGCGAGCGGGTAAAAGCAAACGTAAGCAAATCGAGACTTTTCCGCTCTTACCCCGCCTATAATGGATATTTAACGGCCTCAGTGATAAAGGAGAAATCGAATTTTGGACTAATAAATAACTTATCTGCATTGCGTCTTGGTATTTATTTGTGTTGTCGGCCCAGATTTGCTTTCGTCCTACAAAAGGACAGGGAAACCGAGCCATGGAAATTCGACAACGTATATATATATATATATATATATATATATATATATATATCACCTATATAACGAGACAAAGGGATTTGTGGCATTAATTGTTTACCTTTCCAACGAAATGCTAATAAAGTTGCTATTGTAATGGGATCGGTTTGATTAATCACGATGATTCGTAACTCCAATTAAATATTTATTCAGTTTGTTAGCAAGACAATCGTTTTTTCGTTTCTTTCGTTGCAATCATCATAATATTTTGCTGGATTTGCCGAGCATGGTTGACCTGAGGTAAATCTATAATTTGTAACGCGAGTTAAAAGTCTGCGTGTCGAGCTTTTGCGTTTTTATTATAATTATGGGAATTTGCAATATCACGAGCTCGGTAATATTAAGAATATGATATTGCAGAAAATGATTGTTGGAGGTCTGTTGAGTAGTTGGATTTCGAGGCAGCGAGTGAAAATTAATTCAAATTATTAAGTTTGTTTGGTTGCTAATTCTCTCGCTAATAGAAAATCTTTTTATCACTGTCATTTTTACCGAAGGATTTTTCTTTCTTTTATGCGATTAGTAATCTTCTTATGATTACCGACCGATTGGCAGTTTGCTAAATACTGCAATACCGCGTATTCTCTCTCTCTCTCTCTCTCTCTCTCTCTCTCTCTCTCTCTCAAGATTAGTTATTTGCTTAGAGTTAACTGTAATTAGTGGTTCGCAGTTTATAAAGCGAAAATAATCGCGCAAATAAATAAATTCAAAATATTTATCATTGATAAAGCAGAATTTTACAAGGCTTGCGAAATATAAGAAAAATTAATAATTTTCCAGATGTATACTGTACTGCAACAGTTATATTATAATATTACAAAAGACGTATCTACGCGTTGCAGAAAGAATCGTTGTTAATTCCTAAGCTTTAATCGGCTACTTTAAATACAATATAAGGTTGAGAAAAATTTCACTTTTATGCGATTAAAATATAATATAATTATTTGCGCTCCGAGGCACTAAAATGTAAATATTAATTATAGCTGCATTAGCAAGTATTCAAAGAATTTTCCATTCAAATCTCAAGCATACATCACGGCATTGTTGTTAAACTTTAGAAATGATAATCAAGTTAAAAATCAAAAAAAAAAAAAAAAAAAAAAAAAAAAAAAAAATTAATGGAAAGCTCGGCTTGCATTAAGAAGAAAAATTTAATACAATAAATACGATAGGGTAAAGTAGATACAATTTTCAGAATACTTTTAATGCGATACATTCCAATGAGTCGCTGGCAAGTTTTTATGATCCTCCCAATGGCCATAATGCTTTTACGAACGTGTTTACGACATTGGAGTGTTTACGATTTTAACGTTAAAGCCTGATTGGCCACTAATATAATGAAGTCACGCAAGCGTTCGACAATCTCCGCAACGCGGGACGTTACATTTTAATTGATCTGAAATTGATGTAACCCGCTACTTGATACCCCTTGAGCCCCTTTACTAAACACTAACGGAATAATGTCATTTTACTCCCCGAGTCCAATTGATCTTTGGTAATAGAATTTTTCAACGCTCGCTCGCTCGCTCTTCCCAGCATCTCATCTCATCTCATCTCATATACGTATATCTAACGCTATCGCGCTGAACTTTCAAGTCGCGCACCGATGAAATTCCTCTCAACGATTCACGTTCCTGCTATCTACAACATCTTCCGGGTTATTGCTTGCAAATGCGCTGAAAATTCTAAATGTTTATGCTCGAGAAATTCTGTGCTACGGTGCTAGGTAAAGTAGTCGGAAATATCGACGGAAAGCTTCGTTCATTGCCAAATGAACATTTGCTCCTGGGACAGTGACGTATGTATTGCAAGACTTTCCTTTATAGTTGTAATTTGAAGCTGTATTATCGTAATTGTTGCTTAACAAAAGGACTTTTCAAAGGCGGTCAATTGTATTATCCGGCTACATAGCCGTTAATTAAAGTCAAATGCAAGTAATCTAAGAATAACTTTAATATATTATTCCAACATGGATTAGATGAGAATTTACCATGGCAACTATCATTTTTATTCTTATATCGATGATCTTTTTTCTTCTTCTTTTTTTGTTTCTTTTTCTCTTTTTACTTACAATGAATTGATTTCTGTTGCGATAATTAATAATCATCTAATCTAGCTAAATCGCCGGAAATCTAAAAAAAATTAACATCCACTAATGATTAAGACGATAATGAGATCCACTATTATTAATTCATAAATTAATTTCTTTGCAAATAAAGTCACTGATTTTTGTACGTTATTTATCAGGTAGTATGAATTATGTAATAATGTGTAAAATGGAATTCAAAAATTGATTTCTTTCAATTTGTTATAGACCTCCTAATATTCACCATAAAAATTTAATAACAATTAATAAGGAAACGATTTTTAATGAGTAATTTGTATTTACAATTAATTATTATTACTGTTAAAAATATAATAAAAACTATATATACATATATATATATATATATATATATATATATATATATTTATTTTTTTTGTTTTTTTGTTTTTTTGTTTTTTTGTTTGTTTGTTTACCATTCATAATTAAAATCAAATGCACTGTTCATTCTCGATTAAATGGAGAATTACAAAAATAATGATAATAAAGTGATATTATTATATATTACTGTTGGAAAGACATCGATATTTAGAAAATAGAGATTAACAATTGGATAGGTGAAAAAACAATTAGGTTTTGGAAGAATAATATTTGAACGTTGTAGAACATAATTAATAACGGTTAATAGTTTTATTTATAATAGTACTTATAATAATATACTATATACAATTGTAGTTATAAATATTATCGAAATTACGTCTACATTTAGTATCAAATTTATTTATAAATAATGAATTTCTATTCGTGGGAGGACTTTGTGCATGAAGTTTTGCATTTCAATGCTTCAACTAATTTATTTATATAAATTTATTTATAATCCATATCTTCAGTTGATTATGGTGAGTTTAATATATTTAATACAGTTTGAAATATTCTTACTATTTTATTCTAAGCAAATAAACTAACGATTAAAAATTGTTCCAATTTATAAAATCTACAAATCGTATTTCAATATAATTGAGTGACTTTTAAACGATTCTGTTTGCAAGTTTTAACGTAATGTAAAATTCTATTGTTAGTTAAAATCTTTTTTTTCTTTTTTCTTTTTCGTAAAGTTAAATTAAAATTGACAATTGAAAGGATAATAGGAACGAACTGAAGAATGACGTTAAATATACGAGAAATACTACTTTCATCAAATTGACTATTAAAAACATAAGCTTTTAATTAATTGAACGTAATTTTGTCTAAAATCTTCGTTCTTTTATGGACTCAAATTCCCTCTAACAAGTTGTTTTATTTCCATCGTTAGCTTACAAAATTATATATAGAAATGTTCTTTCAATTCTATTTGTTTTATTTATAAATATAGATTATTAAGTACCACGTATGACAATGAAAATATTTGACATGCAAATTTATAGTCATATAACGAATAAATATAATAATAACGTAATTTTATAGTGGCAATTGTTAAATAAGATAATAAAATAATAATTAAGCTTGCAAGAATGGTGATGCTGTATACGATTAATAAACTTAAAATAAAAGCGATAAAACTCAATTTGATTATTTTTATTACAAGAAATAATTTTTGATGGTTTTATTCTATTTCTTCCACGTTATATATACTAATCAACCTGTTATTATTATTGTTTTATCGTGGAATTGATCAAAGATTAATTCTTGAACATTTATTTATATACTTTAAAAATGGAAGCAATAAATCTATTAAAAGTATTAAATTAATTTAAATAAAATTATCTTGATTAAAAGTAATTAAATTATTTTCTTTATAATTTTTTTTCTTTTTTTGTATAATCGAAACGAAATTGCTTCGCGAATGTATAATAAAATTTCAATAAAAATAATTAAATACAATGGATAAATGGATTTTTCCTAATAGAGAAAATCAGATTTTCTATATTCTTTATTTTTTTTTTTTTTTTTTTTTTTTTTTTTTTTTTGTCACGAAACGCTTCGAGCTAAGAAACGGCGTGACCGAGAAACTTCAAATGTTTACGCGGGAAACTCCCTCCCCAAACGCTTTTCACTGTCACATATTGTAGTTTAAAAAATTGAATGAAGATAAAATAATCGTTTCGCTTTTCGCTAATAAAGTCTAGAGCACCGAGTTCTGTTGCGAAA